GTGAGGCGGCAAAGATCGCAGCCAATTCTCCCAGGGTGCGTTTTTAACATTCAGACGCAACTTGATTAACTCTTGCTGTAGGGTATACTACGCACGGTCCAAGTCATCGAGGCGTTCAAAACTGCCCCGGCTCCTCCCGGCGGTCTATCACCCATTTTGCAGTATTTCGGCATCCTGCTGGAAAAGGGAGAGCTGAACCATCTGGAGTCGTTGGAGCTGGCCCGCCCTGTGCTGCAGCAAGGCCGGAAACAGCTCCTGGAAAAGTGGCTCAAGGAGAACAAGGTGTGGGATTCACGATGCTCACTGAATCCTCACTTACCACATGGTTAGCTTACCTGCAGCGAAGAACTAGGAGATATCGTTCGTTTGCACGACATGACTTTGGCTCTGAGTGTCTATCTCAGAGCCAACGTCCCCACGAAGGTCGTTGCTTGCTTTGCTGAAACAGGACAGACCGACAAGATCGTGCTGTATTCTAAGAAAGTGGGCTTTAGCCCTGACTACTTCTCTCTTTTGCAACACATCATGCGCACGAATCCGGAGAAGGGAGCCGAATTTGCAGCCCAGCTGGTGAATGAAGAATCAGGACCCCTCGTCGACGTTGAGCGGGTGCGTACCTATTTTGGTTCTCTCTTCCAGATACTCAGTGGCCACAGGTTGTAGATGTCTTCATGTCTCAGAATATGATTCAGCCGGCGACGTCGTTCCTTCTCGATGCTTTGAAGGAGAACAAGCCCGAGCAGGGGCACCTCCAAACTCGCCTCCTCGAGATGAATCTGGTTCACGCGCCCCAGGTTGCCGATGCGATCCTTGGCAACGAGATGTTCACCCATTACGATCGTCCTCGTATCGCAAACCTGTGTGAGAAGGCTGGTCTTCTGCAAAGGGCAAGTCAAGGATGTGATTCTTGTCTCTTTGTGCTCATCGCTTGCAGGCGTTGGAACATTACCAGGATCTTGCAGATATTAAACGAGTTATCGTTCACACTGCCGCTCTGCAACCCGAGGTCGGTAGTTGATCTCTGCAATCTTCCATATCTCACGTTCATTCTCCGTGCAGTGGCTCGTGAACTACTTCAGCAACCTGACTACCGATCAGTCAATGGCCTGTTTGCAAGAGATGCTGCGAATCAATATCCGACAGAACCTTCAGATTGTCATTCAGATCGCAACCAAGTACTCAGACATTCTGGGGCCCGTCAAATTGATCGAGATGTTCGAGAGCTTCAAGAGCTTTGAAGGTCCGTTTCTTCTAGCCCTTTCCTACTTTCGTATCGAATTTTCTACAGGCTTGTACTACTATCTCGGTTCCATCGTCAATGTCAGCGAAGATCCCGAGGTGCACTTCAAGTACATCCAGGCCGCCACTCGCACTGGCCAGATCCGTGAAGTGGAACGGATCTGCAGAGAAAGCAACTTCTATAATCCAGAGAAGGTCAAAAACTTCCTGAAGGAGGCAAAGCTTTCAGACCAGCTTCCGTTAATCATCGTTTGCGACCGATTCGACTTCGTTCACGATCTGGTTCTCTATCTGTACCAGAACGGATTGACCAATTTTATCGAAGTCTACGTTCAACGAGTCAACTCAATCCGCACTCCTCAAGTTGTCGGAGGCCTGCTCGATGTGGACTGTGATGAGGCGACAATCAAGAGCTTGCTTGCGTCGGTCAGCGGCAACTTCCCGATCGATGAATTGGTCCACGAAGTCGAGCAACGAAACAGGCTCAAACTGATCCTTCCCTGGCTTGAAGCCCGTGTCCAAGCTGGCAGCCAGGATGTTGCCGTTTATAACGCCATCGCCAAGATCTACATCGACAGCAATAACAATCCTGAGGCGTTCTTGAAGGAGAACAATGTCTGTTCATATCCTTGCAATTTACAGATAGGCATTGACTTTTACACACACAGTTGTATGACCCTCTCGTCGTTGGAAAGTTCTGCGAGAAGCGAGACCCTTACCTCGCCTACATTGCTTACGCCAAAGGCTTTTGCGACGAGGAGCTCATTGCCATCACCAATGAAAACTCGATGTTCAAGCAGCAGTCCCGTTACTTGGTCAAGCGACGCCAGCCCGAGCTTTGGGCACAAGTTCTCGTCGGCGACAACATGTACCGTCGCCAGCTCATTGACCAGGTAACTGTCTTTTTTTTTCTTCCTCGACCGACTCTGACCGGATTTAGATCTCTGCCACAGCTCTGCCTGAATGCACTGATCCCGATGACGTTTCGGTTACCGTCAAGGCGTTCATCACGGCCGACTTGCCTATAGAGCTGATTGAGCTCTTGGAGAAGATCATCATCGAACCCTCGCCTTTTAGTGACAACAAGAACCTTCAGAACCTGCTCCTCTTGACCGCGATTCGCTCCGACAAAGGCAAAGTGGTTAACTTCATCAATAAGCTCAAGAATTATGATTACAACGAGATCGCGAAGATCGCCATCGAGCATGGCCTGCACGAGGAGGCTTTGTCCATCTACAAGAAGTATGAACAGCACGCGCTCGCAATCAATGTTCTTGTGGAGCACATCGTCTCCATTGATCGCGGGCTAGACTTCGCCAACAAAGTCAATAAGCCTGAAGTTTGGAGTCGTCTTGCCAAGGCTCAGTTGGATGGGCTGCGTGTCAAGGATTCCATCGGTGGGTTCTCTGTCTGTATCTTGTATGTGGGCATCTGTTGATCTGGCGTAGACTCGTACATCAAAGCTGAGGATCCTGCGAACTTCATGGAAGTCATCGAAATTGCTACTCATGCCGGCAAACATGAAGACTTGATCCGCTTTCTGCAGATGGCTCGCAAATCATTGCGCGAGCCCAAGATCGACACAGAGCTTGCTTATGCGTATGCCAAGACAGACCGGTTGCACGATATGGAGGACTTTTTGAGTATGACTAATGTTGCGGATATCCTGGAGGTTGGAGAGAAATGTTTCAACGACGAACTCTACCAGGCCGCCAAATTGTTGTTCGCCAGCATCTCGAACTGGGCTCGTTTAGCTACGACTTTGATCTATCTGGGCGAGAACCAGTCGGCCGTCGACAGCGCCAGGAAAGCAGGAAACACTCAGTGCGTCATGTGCAGTCTCGCTTTTCTTTGTTCTGACATGACACAGAGTTTGGAAGCAAGTGCACGCAGCTTGCATCGAGAAATCGGATTTCAAGCTCGCCGAGATCTGTGGTCTGAACATCATCGTGCACGCCGAGGAACTACTCGGTCTCGTTCAGCTTTATGAACGCAGGGGTCATTTCGAAGAAGTCATTGTGCTGCTGAGTGCTGGCTTGGTCTTGGAAAGAGCGCACATGGGGATCTTTACCGAGCTGGCCATCCTGCTGAGCAAGTATCAACCTGCAAGACGCAAGTCGTTCCCTTTCGCCTTTCGATCGTTGCTGACGAGTGTGCCCAGTGATGGAGCATCTCAAGCTCTATGTCTCGCGAATCAACATTCCGAAAGTGCTCAAGGCTGCCGAAAAGGCCCATCTGTGGCGAGAACTCGTCTTCCTCTATATCAAGTACGATGAATTTGTAAGTCTGTTGTTTTCTGCAAACGACCGTTGGAGAGATATCTCATCATTTGCAGGACAATGCCACTGTGGCCATGATCGAACGGGCTGCCGACGCCTGGGAACACAATCAATTCAAGGATGTGATCGTTCGTGTTGCCAACATCGAGATGTATGAGTTCCTGTTCTATCCTCGGTCTCATCTGACAGCAGGACAGCTATTACCGTGCCTTGTCATTCTACCTGGAGGAGCAGCCGAAACTGCTGACGGATCTTCTGACTGTCCTGATTCCACGTATCAATCATTCGCGCGTGGTGCGGATGTTCCGAAAGCAAGATCACCTTCCTTTGATTCGCAACTATCTTGTGGCCGTTCAAGAAGTAGGTCGCGCTTTCTCCTTGTACTTCACTAATTTTTTGTTTCAAGCTCAACATCGAAGAAGTCAACGATGCGTACAATGATCTGCTGATCGAAGAAGAAGACTACAAAACTCTCCGAGACTCGATCGACAACTTCGACAGCTTCAACACGATTGCGCTGGCTCAAAGATTACAAGCCTCTCCTCTGCTCGAGTTCCGACGACTTTCGGCCCATTTGTACAAGGTCGGCTTGCTCTCGTGACCAGTTTCTTGAGGGACTCATTTTATGACTAGAAAAACTCACGCTGGGACGAGTCGATTGCACTGTCGAAGCAAGATCGACTGTACAAAGATGCGATCATCACTGCATCCGTGTCCGGATCAACCGAAGTCGCCGAGGAGCTCATGTCTTACTTTGTGGACATCGGCAACAAGGAGTGCTTCTCGGCCATGCTGTTCACTTGCTTTGATTTGTTAAGATCTGACATTGTCGAGGAGCTCTCGTGGCAGCATGGATTGAACGACTTCTATATGCCTTACAAGATCCAGATCCAACGCACTCTGGTGAACAGGGTATGTCGTCTGTTCTTAGTGCCAGTTGAGAGCTGATGTTGTGTTCATCCAGCTTGCTCAGTTCGAGAAAGAACTGAAAGAGCGCTCGAAAAAAGAGGTGCAGAAGGAGCAGGCCGAGGCTGATGCACCTATCATCAATCCTGCTCTTATGATAACAAATGGCCCGGCTGGTTTTGGTGGCCCACCTCCGATGAATGGGATGAACGGTGGCATGATGCCTGTAGTCCTTCGCTTGTTCGCCTGTTGTTCAGGACACTAACCAACTGCAGCAAATGACGGGTTTCTACTAATTCTCCCGATTAAAGTACATACACTCTTCTGCATATTCACGTTCTCGTAATGGATTCTTACCTCACCCTCGGACGCGAAGAGTGACCAGGAATGCTGCTTGGATGTTGAACGATCATGTCTCGGAGTACAAACGAGATCTACTTTGGCACCGCCGGCCAGCTCGATTATGCACTACCCCTCCCGAATCCGTTCATATTGACTCCCTTCAGGCGAGGGCTTAACACAGGCACTGCTCAAAAGATCAGACCTAGGTCCCATACTGTTCAGGATCGCACGTACGCGAGGTTTGATTAGAGTGAGCCACGATCTTTGAGACCAGTGGAGCCATTTTTTCGTCGCATTTATATGCCAGTGCATGCAATGCTTGATTAATCGCGACAACTGGCTTCATTCCCAATTTCTGGCACTCCTCGTACTCGAGCGGAGTCCCCCGAGCACAGATGGCGGCATAGTATGGGACGAGCACATCTTCTGGAACGCCGTGCCTGCGATACAGAACGATCCGGTCGATGGAGGTGAGTGATTTAGAGTGTGGATGCTTCTCGAGTTCCCGGACAGCAAGCTTTTGCACCTCAGCGAAGCCCCACTCGTGACCGAGTCGGAGGATCGTGCTCCACTCCTCGATGGTTGCATCGTAGATCGAATACCGCCTGTATGGCTCTGGTTCAGAGTGTATGCGAGCAAGAGTTGGACAGACTGACGGATTATAAAAGACCCACAGGAAGGTCTCGAACTCTTCAACCGTCGCATCTTCGAGCTTGATGGGGTTCAGCCGGCTAGAGCCCTTTCGAATCTCTCCCGGAGCCGGCGAGGACGCGATAACGGACTTGAACATCTCGGACTCGCGCTCGAAAAAATGACGGTGTACAAGAAATTCCACATTTCCGACCTATGAACAGGTTAGCAGCGGTATTGTGTGGCTAGCAGTGCGAGAGGGCTCGCCATGATGTGGAGATCGCCGCCACTCAAGAAATATTTGTCGCTCGGCTGCATGCCATGAATCGAGCTGCGCTGTTTGTCTGCTGGCATAACGATGGGATACAAGACGAGATGACCTGCTGCTCAAGCACTTTAAATAAAAGAATCTCAAGGTGGCACTGCGATGGTGCTCCCCGGAATCGCACTTCTGGGCGCTTAACGGCCTCGCTGTGCACCAATCGAGGCGGGCACCCCCAGAAATATCAGGGAAGACAGAAAGCTGGCATCGGGAGAACCGTGTATTAGACGCTCAGGGACACCACGAGCGGCAGCACTTGAAGTGAAGTCCATTTCCTGTCCTAAAACGGCATGATCCAGACCATTAACAACCATTGTTAATCCGACAGACGCATAATAGTCATAGTAGCGTGTACACGCGGAGGCGGAGATTAAAATGTACTGACACGACCCACCTGGTGGCAACAGGTTTCGAGTTTTCAGGTACGAGCTCTGTGAGAGACATGTGCATGAGTCGCAGACATTTGTTTGTTGTGATTTTCGAGTCTTTTTCTAGATTGCTATTTTATCCACCCATCTTCATCGATACCCTCCGCCAACATTAATGCTATGTCCCGCGCGCGCGAGATCCCTGGAAATGATCAGTTTGGAAACATTGCAATGCAAGAAAGCAGTTCACTTGAAAGCAGCCTCTACACAGGAGAGGATTTCCTTATAGCTGACGACCAAGCAACTCTGCTCATCCCGAGCAATCAGCATGATTCTCTCCTCTGAGCCGGCATCGAGCTTGTTGAGATATGTCAGTACATGCCCCAGATTGACCGCCGGATTGCCGTTTTCGTCGACTTGATGGAAAACAAAGTCCCGAAAGAGCTTGATGATGTACCGGTCTCCTGTTTCAGACCATCTGGGATCCAACGCAAATTCAGGCCGCTCATTGATGAAACCAAATTTGCACAGCAGACGGACGAGGCGAGCATTCTCCAGTTCACCCATGAGCTCGTTCTCGAGAACATCTGTTGCGGAAAGAGCATCACCCAATTCAGCCGCAACTCTGGAACTGATGATTTCCAGCAGCTGGGAAATGCTCTGCACGGGAATTAGATCAAGAAAGCGATCTGACGTCGCTATGCACCTTGTGAGAGCTGTTCTTGTTGATGAGAAAGAGCGCCACCGCCTTGACTTCGGGACTGTACATCCTGCCCATCACTTCCAGGCTCTTCTGGAAATTGCTGCCACTTGAAGCCACCACGTTTCCAGTACAAAGAACGAAGACTAGGCGCCCAAACATGATCAAATCCTCCTGTTGGAGAAGCTGGATGTCTTGCGGTGTGTCGTACATCAGTACGTCCACGATCCCGCAAGAGCTGACCCGGATCCTGACGAGATGGATCACTAACAAAGCTTCGGGATCAACGAAAGTCATGGACCAACCGATTATTGCCTGTGACCAAAACCTTGGTGACGTCGATCATCCTGAGAGCCTGACCCATGTCATGCACACGTTTGATCGCACTGGCGAGTTGGACTATGTACGACCACAGAGTTCGTTCTGGGACCTGCGATTGCACTGGCGGCGGCTGAAATTGAGTGCCGGGTTGGTACGCCGGGGGGGTCAGCTTAAGATGCCGGTCAAACAGGGTCTGTGCTTTGGGATGGTAGGCATAGGAGACCACGAGCGAACTGTCACCGAAAGCGTGTGTTGTGAACGCTTCATGGATGGCCACAACTCCCGGATGTCGTATGGATGACCAGGTCTCGATGGTACTGAAGGCAGCTGGGTTGCCAAGGCGAAAGTCTAGCCGAACGTTTAGCAGCACGTTTAGCAGAATGGGAGAGGCCAGACACACTCTCAATTCGGCGCAGTGCATAGGTGCAGCCGTCAACCGAGTTTACAGCTCGATAAACGGCTGAGCTCCAGTTTCCAAACTTGCGCCGTTCCCCGTTTAGATTCTCGAGTGGCACGAGCGAATGGTATCCTTGCATCTCGTCCGGTAAGTTGAGTCCTGAATGTAGAATGATGTTTCGCATACAAACGATCTGGCAATGGAACGAACCGGGAGGCAAGCCCATGTGGACATCTTCACTGCGTCGCTGGAGCAATGTGCGTAGCTCGGTAGAAGAAGGAACGAAATGAGTGTCGGAAGGTGTCCTTAAGAATCCAGGGGGGATTGCGCTTGAATACAGGTGGTAATTTAACTGCACGGGTTTGTATGAGCATCCGTTGCTTCGCCACAAGGTCCGCCTCACTGGTTGTCGCACAAAGACAGGGGGTTGCACGTAATACGAATGGTCGCCCACAGATTCGTACGAGTCGTAACCAGGATCAGGATAATACTCGCTAGATGAGATCTGTCCGAATAAGTCAACCAGATCGAAGTATAGACGTTCGGACGAACATCCTGCATTTGGGTGCCCCCAACTGCAGTGGGTGCGGGGTATTCGTATACCACGCCTGGATCGTCCGAAGCGGACTCGGGCGATGCCACCGGCCTGTCAATATCGCTCGGATCTACAACGAATGGACTCGGATTGGATGGACGGACGGGCTAGCAGGTGGAGGTGTGTCGGTTTGAATTCGGCCAGGGAATTTGGGGACAAAGACGGGAGCGTTGACAGCCTGGGCAGAAAGAGACGTAGTGATGATTTGCTTTGCCGGCGATTCTGCTCGCGGACTATAGATGGATGAGATCGAATATGGAAGCACGAAGGCGGCTAGTTTGACGCACGCGATTGCAACAGCGTCCGGCCCCTGGACCAAGGCATCAGAGTGCATCCAAGGCAAGTCAGGAAACGCACCGGCGGATGATAGTACACACATCCTTTGTCCTCAAATTTACACGATCTAGAGACGTTCATTCGTTCCATCATCCCCATGCGTCGAGACCACCCACCCGTATATCATGATATTCCGGCATTGCCTCTGCACTGAATCTAAGTAATCTCAGCAAGATGAACGATAATGACGATTTCAGCATACCTTTGCGTGGTGATGCTGCCTTGGTCTGCACTATCTCGCCCTCTTCGGTAGCTGAAGGGCGGACGATTTTGACCGCGGCATTGGCCGATTGTGGTCGCGTGAAGAATGCCATTTCTAGAGGAGGCCGTATAAATAGACGCAGATTAATCGAGCGCGAGACCGTCCCTGGCCCGCAGACGTCGGTGAGGTTGAGGAACAACCCGAGCGTGATGTGTTTGAGTTGAATGTGATGTGTTTGAGTCGATCCTTGTACTGCACGCCTGCTACTAGTAGTAGTATCTTACTTGTTGGGTCATTTCTACGATCCCCGCCTCCTGTGGACCATCATGGACCATCTTTTGTTTCGGAACTCGTTCCAGCACCGCTGACGTACTCACAGGAGTACGCCTATCTTGTGCTCATTGACCAGCGCGCAAGCCCTCATCATCTTTCGTCATGTACTAGGTCGTCACTCTTGAACTAAGTCAAGTGACATGGGCATGGTCAGCACGGTTCGCAGTAACATCGTCATAGACGGAAAGTGCGAAGTGCAAACGGTGATGGCTGCGTGTAGCGGGTACGCTGTGTTGTTGCTGCCGCCCCTGACAAGCGTACTGTGGGCCTGCGCGTAAGGGTTGGATGACATATGCCGTCCATTGTCTCTTAGGTTAGAAAGATAGCGTGCGCAATAAGCTTGGCCTGGCATCCCGGTCATGCACGAGTCGGTCAGCCCATCGTGGTAGAGTCCAATCCGTCTTAAGAATGTCTAGTGACACCCGGCATTCGACAGAAAAGTCCAAGCCATTCCAAGTAATCATGCAAGAATTGTGAAAATAACAATTTGAATGCACCGAGAGAGAAATATGCCCCCCGAACCCATCAACTTCCTCTATTTCATCGGCCGAGATTGTGACGGATCGCTTTCGGAGTTGACAACCTGAAGGCTTGGAGCTTGAACTTGAATTTGAGCTGTGGAAGGGTAGTTGAAATGGTGTGGAAATAGAGTACTGAGTGAACCAAGGATTCGATCGCGTGTTTGCCCATGCTTGCCCATTCTCTGAACGGCCAACCGACGCCCACCACCCGACAATTGTCTTTCTCCTTACCTTGATATCTTGTGATGGCCCGCTTTCGCGTCCAGGACAGTGAAAGTGGCAGTGATGAAGACAATTTCTCGGAAGAAGAAAAAAATCCGCAGGCCATGCCCGCCGCGGCGCCATCACCACCAGAGGATGACTATGACGACGACGACAGCGAGGGAGAAGACGATTCGGAAGGCTCTTATTCGTCGGATCTCCATGAAGAGGACTTGGTGACGCGACCTCGACCGCGAAATGCTTTGGTGGAGGACGAGAACGGCGAGATGCAGTACGCTGACGCTGACGCCATGGACCCTGCACTATGGCCTCAACGCGTCGGCGTCGATTACCAGAAAATGCACGTCATGCAAGCTTCGCTATTTCGTGCACCGGAGGAAGCTGCGGCGTTGAGAGCGTCTGAGAAATCAATGCACGCGCGTTTACAGTGCCGCTGACACTCAACCGGAAGCATAGCCGTGACTCAGAGGGAGACAGTCTACGCGTTGACCCAAAGGAGGTGCGGGTGTTCCGTTCTCTTTTTCGAGTTCCAGATATCGCTCACTCCCGCTAAGCGAGCGTCTTTTGCGCATGATGTCGAAGCGGCTCCGTATCGACCGACACGCAAGTATGCGCGCGTCGAAAGCTCCAGGTCCGCTGTTTATGGCAATGAATCCTCTGTCATAGATGCGGGGCTAGCTTTTGGCCGTTCCTTTCGCGTCGGGTGGGCATTTGATGGCTCTTTGATACATCCTGGAGTCATTTGTGCTCCTTGGAGTTCTGTGTGCGTTCTGAACACTCGAACGCTCATGTTACAACTCAATTTTACTCCGCAGGAAGCCGAACGCCAATTCCTCCGCACTTCTGAGATCCCGGCCCACAACGTGCCAGTCCAGCATCTCTGCTAAACTTCTCCAGCATCAGCTCTCCAATACCACCTTCGATTTTGACGACGAACAAGTGCCGTTCGCTATCCCTTCGTCCCATGGATTATATTTCGACTCCTTTGCCAGTCTGTTTGCCAGCTCCGATCGAACATTCGAAGCCTCGCTCTTCCGGTTGGGCTCGGCCCTGTTCGATCCGTTGATACTACGACTGGGAGAATCCGTGACTCCTGATGTCAGAAGCCGGGTAACAGCGCTGCGAAGGAAAACAGCGCTGTCTGCGTGGTTGCAAGATGTCGTTCGGCCCACTGTGGATGCGGACTTGCGAAATGCTCCTAGTCTAGGACCCGCGGGAGTTGCTTTCGTTCATCTGACGGGAAATCAAGTGGAACAAGCCTGCGATGTCGCGTTGGATGGCGGGCTTCCGAAGCTCGCTACACTGATTGCTCAAGCGGGCGGCGACTTTTCCTTCAGAGAAGATCTGAGGGAGCAGCTCGATCTTTGGCGGGAGCAACGAGTCGACCTTCACGTTGAAGAAAGTGTTCGCAAGATATACGCTTTGCTAGCGGGATTGACGGACACCGTGGTCGAGGGATCGAAGGGTGGAGGACAAGACAAGTGCGCAGATGTGGATATCCTCACTGGGCTAGACTGGAAGCGCATTTTTGGTTTGCACCTCTGGTATTCGGAGCCGGTAGATGCGACGATATCGCAAGTTTTCGCCGCCTACAGTGCGTTGGTCAAGGACTCAACACGAAAGGTCGCCAGCCCCATTCCCCGATACGAAGGAGTGAGCCGATGGAATGCGCCCTCTGTATTCGATCACGATGCTTTTTTCTCTCTAATCCGCGTCCATGCCGAGCCCACCTGTTCTCTCTCCCAAGTGCTGACACCCCTTTCGTTTGGGCCCTCACCAGTCGACTTTTCGCTGACATGGCACTTGTACATCCTCCTCTCACGTTGCATGCGAGTGAGGGACTTGTCTGATCGAGGAGACCCGGGAATCCGACCGGCAGACGATGGTCCACTTGCTGAGGGACATAGTCCTAGCGCGGATTTGTTGTCAACCAGCTATGCATTCCAGCTAGAGCAGTTGGGGATGATCCAGGAAGCGTGCTTCGTATTATTGCACCTCGAGGGATCTACTGAGTGCGTTGTGGTTGAACGCAAGCTTATGGGCTCATTTTCTGCAGGAGGAAGAAGGCCATTAAGGAATTGCTGGCAAGAAACGCTGCCACTCTGGACGAATGGATGACTCGTGGGATCGTCGGCAGTTTGCGAATACCCATGGCCTGGGTTCAAGAAGCCAAAGCTTTGCATGCTTATGACTGCGGTCAGATCTTCGAAGCATTCGACCTATACTTGTCTGCGGGTCAAAACAACCAAGCCCACGAGATCGCCGTCACAAAGCTTGCTCCTGAAGCTATCATACGTCATGATTTGACATTGCTCACTGAGATCTTCAGTCGCTTCAATGGACGGGCTGTGGATGGATGGCATGTCCGGGGCAAGGTCAGTTTGCAATGACATGATGATATCACGACGTAATGATCCTTGCAGATTCTCCAGGACTATGCCCATGTACTCTCCAGACTCGGGAAACTCGATGAAGAGCTGGACCAGGGACGAATCAGGATGAACGAGACCAGCTGGGTCGCACTGCGGCTCGGCTCATCAGCATCCTTCCTGATGTGCTTAGGAACCGCTCAGACGCAGTCCACAATGCTGCACTGGCCGATATGATTGGCAGGCTAGTCAAAGTAGTCGACAGGACACGCTCGTCGAATGCAACTGACATCCAGCCGACACATGTTGGGGAATCTGTCAAACTACAACATATCCAAGCCACAGTCTATGCCAGGTTTCTTAGCAGTATCGATAGCCCGTAACTGTTGATTTGTTGTATTGCTATCCGTGTTATCTAGTGGAGCGTGCTATCATGATCATCTTCCGCAGAGCATCTAATCTGGAGGTCGACACCGAGCTTCTGTTCTATGACCATGGCCCCCATGACTTCTTATCGTATGACTGCGTCTGAATTTCTTTCTTCGTCTTTGACCGTCGAGGAATATGCCCGGTCCCTCTTGGAAAGAGTCGCTGGCCGCGATAAAGATGTGGAAGCATGGGCTTATCTCAACGAGGAACACATCCTGCTTCAGGCGCGATCACTCGATGCGGTCCCCCTCGACCGGCGTGGGCCGCTGCACGGCGTGCCAATCGGCGTCAAAGACATCATGTATACCAAAGGCTCGTGTGGTCGTCTCAGGGCTATTCACCGGACACTAAGTGATAGACGCAGACATGCCCACCCAACACAACTCGCTTATTTACGCTAATGACGCGCCTGCCATCGATGCATCGCTGATCTCCGTGCTGCGTAACGCCGGTGCTCTCATCTTTGGTGTGTGCATGGCCGGATTGTATCTCGGGATGAAGTCCAGACAATTGACAGGGAAAACAACGACCACCGAGTTTGCTTGTGTAACCACAGGCACCAAAACGAAGAACGCGCACGATCCAGCACGGACTCCGGGTGGAAGCTCATCTGGATCGGGAGCCTCTGTGGGCGATTATCAGGTCCCATTAGCATTGGGAACGCAGACGATTGGCAGGTGTGTCGGCCTGTTCTCTTCCATGCCGTCGTTTGACGGGATGCACATTTGCCAGCATTATACGCCCAGCATCATTCAACGGTGTCTTTGGCTTCAAGCCCACTTTCGGTGCCATCTCCAGAGAGGGCGTCAAGTTCGGATCTCTCAATCTGGATACCGTCGGCTTCTTCTCTCGATCCGTGGCAGACCTCGAGCTCCTCGCTGACGTTTGCAAGATCTCGGACGACGAAAGCCCTGCATCCGAGTTCTTGCTTGCAGGATCGAAAATTGCCGTGTGTAAATCCCCGGTATGGACTGCTGCAGGTCCCGATACCGTCAAGGCGCTCGCGCAGGGTGCCCAATTGCTGCGAGATCAAGGAGCCATTGTCGAGGAACTGACATTACCCGGAGAGTTTGACGAAGTGACGACCCTTCACCGTCGCATTTTCCAGCGCGACGCCGGAGTGGCTTACATGAATGAGCCTAAAGAGAAATTGGACCCACTCCTGGCTAGCTTTGTGGACGACATTCCGCGTCTCACAAACAGAGATTATCTCCAGGCCTTGGACACGCTCGCACAGCTTCGACCCAAGCTCGATGCGATCACGAGCCAATTCGATGCGATTTTGACGCCCTCGGCTGTCGGCGAAGCACCGGAAGGCCTGGCAACGACCGGAGACCCTATCTTTTGTGGTTTGTGGACTGTGAGTAGAGTGCTTGTTCTGCACCCCAATCTTGATTCATGTTAGGTCATGCACGCTCCTGTGGTAAATGTACCAGGCTTTTCCGGCGAAAATGGGATGCCCATCGGCCTTTCCCTTGTGTCGGGACGGTTTCAGGACAGACGTTTGCTCAAGGTAGCTGCGCCCGTGGCCACAGCCTTCGCTCCTGGCAATAGGCCCTTCCAGGGATCGGCAGATTCGCAACGTCCGATATCATAGAGTAGCAGCTTCGCAACAGAGTCCGTGTTGCGGGGGTTGGCGGAAACCCAGATTTGGTTCGCCTATTAGTGTTATCTAAGTAGTAAGTAGTCTTTGGATGGATGCGACGTTGCATTGATCGGGAGCGGCGTGATTCCCCGTGATTCTTGAACCTTACTTCACTCCCATCCGTCTCTCATGCCAGCACCAGATGCAAAAACTCGCACGAAGATCAGCCTGAGCCCTCGAATCTTTTCCACTTCGATTCCTACGAAACACGTCCCGCGCATACTGTTGTCCGCCCTATTCTACGCGACTTCTCTCCATGCCGGCAAAGGCGCACTAGACTTTGATGTTGGAGTCTTCTGGCTGGTCATGAGGGTTTTGGCATGCGCCGGGTTCGGTGCGTTGATATGGGAAGGCAGGACAGGGCAGTTAGCGAAGCGGAAATCGATTGAGGTCGGTGACAGAGAAAGGTTAGCCAGTGTGACTGGCTGATATATTGTCAATTACAGTGGTCTGTGTTGGGGACAGCTTCCCTGCTAGTCTTCGTTCAGCAAGGCTGTTTGTTTACAGCGCTGTATCGTCTTCCTTCTACCCGGTATGTCGCTACAGCGCCTTTGAATCAATGTTGTGTCTCATCCCGAATAGTGTGGTGTTATTCACTCATTTCTCAACGTCTTGGATTCAATCTCTCTGGAACTTCTCTGCGGTGGGCTTTCCCTGGACCTTCCCTGCGTCAATGGTGGCTAACCGACATCCAGCCACGGAAAGTCATGGCCATCTTGTTGGCTTGGTTCATATGCATCGTGTCCGATACAGGCCTTTCGTCTGCCGCCTTGCTGCGATTCCTTCCAGGATACGGCGCATTGTTCATGTACTCCCTGGCCTCAGCGGCCCTGGATCACACCAGTGGGATCCTAGCGCCTTCTCTGGGGACAACGTTCACCATCGCAGCGTCTGTCCTCGGTGCCTCCGTCTTCGCGTTGCCCTTTTATGTGTTCCGAACGTTCATAGTGAGTCTCAGCAACGTTTTCCTGGAATTTAATCAGACACTCTGTAGCTTAACTTTCCCGAAACACCTGTGGTCCCCCTCGCTTCGTTGGCCGCGATTCCATTCATAGCATTCTCTTTGTTGCTCTATGTCCCAATCACCTCCAAGTCCCTAAGCAACTTCTCGCTCGCCCCTCAGCATTTTACATTGTCTTATCCCAGCACTGTTATGATGACAGCGCTCTTGGGTTCGCTCGCATTCTCGCAGTTTCCGACTTGGACAGATGCGGCAGTCGCTGTCCTTCTCTTCTTGGGTTTGTTGCTTCGTCCACCGTGGCATTAGATGCCTGATAGTTCACAGGGATGCAACCTGAGCCAGCCGACACATTCCCCGCTCCGTCGCGCACGCCGACGTCAAGGCTGATGCGCTCGTACTTCAAAACCATTCTATCGAATCCAGAATCCCGCAAGATTTTCTATTTCCTAGTCCTCAACATGGCATTCATGCTCGTTCAAATGCTGTACGGGGTGTGGACTAACAGCCTCGGACTTATATCGGATGGTGAGATCCACTCTGCTTGTTTTATCGGACCAGGATTTTGGACTCAGTTGCGTAACAGCGATTCATATGGCCTTTGACTGCATGGCCATTGGTGTTGGTCTCTTCGCGTCGATCATGGCTAAATGGGAACCGAACGAGCGCTTCACTTATGGGTATGGGCGAATCGAGACACTCTCCGGCTTTGCCAACGGGATTTTCTTGATCCTGATCTCGGTCTTCATCATCTTCGAGGCGGTCCAGCGAATGTAAGTATATCTGACTACCTGCGTTGAATCTGAGTCAACATTGCATGCAGTTTAGAGCCACCAGAGATGAACACAAGCCAGTTATTGCTTGTGAGCTCTCTCGGACTAGCGGTCAATCTCTTTGGAATGTTTGCCATGGGAGGACATCACCATGTTTGTCCATCTTTTCGCGCGGGTACTTTCATCTGATGGGTCGTCCGACAGGGGCACTCGCACTCTCATGGGCATGGGCATTCTCATGGTGAAAGCCACGGCTCTCACGACCATCAGATGTCTGCAAAGGACGGACATGCGGGCGGGCACTCTCACGAAGACCACGGCCATTCGCACGATAATCCGACGCACTCTCACACCGTCGGGCATCCGTCAGACGGTCATCAGCCCTCGCATGTAGGGAACGGACACTCGCACGGACACTCGCATGAGCAAGAGCACTCGCATGAGAGCGGACATTCGCATGAGAGCGGACACTCGCACGAGCAAGCTCATTCGCACTCGCACTCGCACGATGCTCAAGAACACTCGCATGAGCACTCGCATGAGCACTCTCATGCTAGTGGGAACGCTCATCAGGCCCACTCCCATTCACCGCCGACCTCTCCGACCTCGCCTCATGTCCATCCGCATCTATCGTCAAACGCCGAACAACACTCACATCCGGACTCTCATTCTGCTGTTGCATCGCACGACCGCAAGCGTCAGTTCAGTGGCACCCCACTGCATGTGCACTCGTCCATGCCGAATTCTCCCTTTGCAGCGGAGTCCGTGACGCCCATCACCCCCAAATACCGATTCGGAGTCGATGAGCATTACCAAACTCATCACGAAGACGAGCATCGACCCAATGTGCACAATCCCGCCCCACCCAGCTCTCATGAAGGTCATAGCCACAACATGCGTGGTGTGTTTTTGCACGTGATGGCGGTTTGTCGCTTCCTATTCTGGGAACGGCGTGAGCTGATGGATTCCAGGACACCTTGGGTTCCGTCGGAGTCATTCTCTCTACACTGCTGATCCAGTTCTACGGCTGGACTGGATTTGATCCGATCGCGTCCTTGTTTATCGCCGTGCTCATCGCTGCCAGTGTTTTCCCATTGGTCATTGACACTGGGCGTGTTTTGTGCCTTGACATCACCGACCGCCAAGCCACGATAGACCAGGCTCTCTCTGAGGTATCATCTACCATTCCCCTATCCGGCCGTATCTGAACATCTTCCATTCAGCTTCAGTCTATCGAAGGACTGGCTTCTTTCAATGCGCCTCGCTTTTGGCCCAAAGATGATACATCATTGATCGGATCAATTCACATCCGCGTGGCTCCGTCCGCTGCATCCTTCGACCCAGCAGGTCCCCATTCGAATCAACGCACAACTTATCACAAACTAGACCGCGTCGTGGAGCGCGTGGACTCGCTGCTCAGGCGCCGGATAAGTGGATTAGAAGAGCTTACCATTCAGATTGAAGAATACCGTTAAATCTCAGTCACATACATAATCTTGTCAATGTATATTAGCAGGAACTAGCAGCGACTAGTCACGCCATCGCGCACCGTCACAATCACATGATGATGCTAACGCTTCACGACTACAGATTTTCCCATATCCTCTTGTCATGGACGAAGTTGTTGAGACCTCAGACCCCGAAGAGTTAGAGCAGTTGGCCATTCGGAAGAGAGCGCTTGGCCCGACTCGCTCTTTCTCCTCTTCTCCGTGCAAACGTCGCAAGGTACCATTATGGTCTCCATATCAGAGGGAGTTCTGACCACACACATCAAGCTTGCTCATGTATCCGCCGACGCAGCTCCCGCGCAGAGTTTTCTCCCTTCACCAAACGGACGGACTGGTGCTCCACGTACTTCTCCATGCTCATCCTCTACAAAGACACCGTTCGATTCATCGTCCCCCCCTGCAACACCACCAGACTCGGATATTAGTACCTTTGGTGTGGCCTGCCCAGAAGAGGAGGTCATCATGCCGACTTTTCCAACTGAAGTAAATTCTACGACTCTGCGTGATGGAAGCGAGATGACACAGCCCATGCCTCTTTCGAAGTCGGCCTTGAATCCCATGCCAGGGATAGACCCGAAGGTAATAGCCTTACAACGTTCCAGTCCATCTCCCCCGAATCCCCGACAATCGGACGCACTCTCTTTTACACCTCGTAGATTTGACTCACCGGACGAGCTCGATCTCCTGTTGGCTGGCCCGAGTCAACGCAGCGGTCGAACGCCACCCGATCCTCCGTCTCCGTTGACACCCTCCTCTTCCCCTGGCCGGTCGTCTCCGCCTATCGTACCCCCGGAATCCAAATACCCTTTACGCCCCAGAAGGCCAAATCAACTTGAGCCGTACACGCATGACAGACTCGTATACAGGCTTGCCATGAAGACTCTTCCAGAAGCAAGGGTGAGAATCATGGAGCAGAGGGCCTACAGCGAAGAACTCTCTGGAAGCGAACAGGACTATTTGGAGGGGCAACAGGAGGAGGAGAGTCAGGCCATGACTGCCGATGAACCTCAACCCGAGTCCCAGAAGGAAAACACGCCGAAGCAACTGCACTCGGTAATGTTACCTCCTCTGCCGCCAGACGATGACGAAGAATCTTCAATCCTCGAAATGCGCAAAGAAGCTCGTCGACTTGACCGAGAGGCGAAGCGGAAGCAGAAACAGCAGAGAGCAATGGACCGAGCGCAAATTGAGAAGCAGAATGCCATGGAGAAGAAGAAAGAGACGGATAGGGAGCGCCGTCCGAGCGAAACAAATACGGTATCTAGAATTCCTGCTGGGGAAGCCATTCGACCGATGGTTCGCGAAATAGAGTTGTTTGCTATTCTGATACTCACATCTCCTAGCCTAGTTCATCTCGATCATTCACCAAATCATCTGAAGACAATGTGAGTGCTGCACTACTGATTATGTTTAACCTCTCTCTTGATATGTACATCAGGCCCGAGACGCATCTTCCCAGCGACGGCGACTGTTCCGCCGTTCCGAGTCTGTCCAAGAGTCTCGCAGCGATACTGAAGTAAGTGTCAACCCTGGCTCAAGTTTGAAACTTCATCTTACCACAGCCGGTTGATCATCAGATCTCTGAGAAACCCAATGAGCTTGACATTCTTGCAAGTTATCTTTGAAGCTCCTCTGTTCTCGTAATGATGGCTTTCCAGGACGAGGCTGACGACACGGCTCGCATGAGTTCGCCCCCGCCTCCTTTCGACGGGATCAATATGCAATCGTCCGACGATGCTCGAGAGGACGAACGCCGAGATGCAAGTAGCCACCCACCATCGGAACACTTCGCAGATTCCGATGCGGAGGTTGCCTTCGTTGATAATCTTCGCCGCCAAAGCTATCCATACGGCCCCGACTCGGGCTCCGACTCAGATGCCAATGATACGTCGAAAGCTGAGCTGAAGTACCGACAACAGGAAAGGGCATTGAATAGGATGATTCCGGCTGTCCTGCGCCGAAAGTTGCTCAAGGAAGCTGAAGCAAAGGCCGCCGCCAAGGCTGCAAAGGCTGCTGAAGAGGAGGCGAAAAGGTTGCGGGCCGAGGAGCCGTTACTCCCAGGACAATCGAGGGCTCGACGTGCGGAAAATCCTGTCGAAATCAGAGATATCAGAGGCGATAGCGAGAGCGACGATGACCTGATCGACGACAATGATTCCGACGTGGGATCGATCCTCAAGCTCAGTCGCGAACCTTCTCCTTCAAAGGGCCGTTCGAGAAAACGTCTCAAGCATCGGTCTAGGAAGCGCTCGCGCTCTGCTGTAGTTCTGGATGATGATGACGGAGCGATTTGGGACTCTGAATACGACGACATCGACAGCAGACACTTTTCCGACGAGATTCTCGATGATCACCTTCGTGTCGGCGATATTTGCGACTCTGGCTTACAAGAGAGGGATATGATTGATTGGATGCTCTCAAATACAAGCCGTATCGGTGGCCAACGGCAGCCGAAAGGACGTCGTAATCGAGCTAAGCTGCACGTTACCACAAGAGCAGCCCGCAAACTAGGTCGGGGGCGTCAGACATTGCTGGATTTTGCAAGCCACGAGCGAAACGGGATCCCTTCGACGACACAATCTGTTCCTCAAGGGCATTTGGGACTGGCAAAACGTCGTCGTGGATCGCAGACCCGATTGGTGCTTCAACGAAAGCCGGAAGACGATCTTGACGTTGGCCCCCTTGTCGGGGATTCGGACGCGTCCGCGAGGCGCCGAGAGCGGAGGCAGAGAATCAAGGAACGCCGCGAACGTGAACGCTCCAACGGCATTTTCGTGATGATTCGGGCGCCAGGCAGCAGAATTGTAGGCCAGATGAGCAAGACAATCGGCCTCAACAGTGCCGATCCACAATTCCAGCGAGCACTCACCCCTGCTGCCAATGTACAATCAATACGGTCTGACTCGCGTCGTCCTTCTCGCAATACATTTCGGCGCCAGGCACGAAGGCGGGATGCTTTACTTCCCGCTCTGCGACCGGTCGCTCCCCGAAATCGCCATGTTGAAGAGGCAACTTCGAACAATCACGGGATCGATTTGGATCACGGACCGCGCCACGAGATCCTGCACGCTCACGAGTCAGATCACGAGATCGTGGTCTACTCTGATGACGACGCCAGGACAGTCGAGTTGGATGGAGAACCGTTTTCTTTGGACTTCGGCATTCGAGCTCTCGATGAACGCTCCCGCTTTGGTCCAGATACCTTCATCGGCAGCGGAAGTCTAGCCAACTTGGTGCATCGTGCGAAAACACAGCCCCCGCTGTCTTATTCCGCACAAGGCATTCACATCAGTCCTGACCTGACACGACAAGAATTTCTTCCCTTGTTGCGGAAAGTATGCGATGGGTTGTTTCAGGCTGCGACCACGGTGGCTGTCGACCTCGACTCCGAGGAAACGGAATGGGCTCGACTGGCTCGAGGAACCTGTCAGTTGTTCTCATTCCTGCTGTTGGATGCCGAAGAAGACGTTTCCGGTTTCAGATCTGCAGTGGAGATAGATGTTCTCCATTTGGTCCAGCGAATACGGGCCGAACCTCTGAGCACGGAATCCATCGATGGGATCTCGCTGACGACGTGCTGGTTCGCGGTCGAATTAGCGCTGAGAGCTGGATCTGTGATCCCGTCCTCTGGCACAAGCTCTCTGCAAGAGGCTTGTTCTTGTCTCGCCGAGGCTCTGATAAGCTTCGGGCTCGAAGACGGCTTTCGACCCCTCCTTAATCACGACGTGATACAGAGTTCAACGGTCGACGATCGGGTGTTCGAGTGCTGGGTCAGTCTATGGCATGTGATGCACACCTTTCGCCAAGGAGGTGGTGTGCATCCGCTCTGGTCGATGGTGCAGGATGTGATCGCTTCTCGCCACCTAGAGCGTTTGACCAGCTTGGACGGCAGCGAATGCATCTGGAGATCCATCTTCGGCTTGTCTGCGGTTTCGCAATTCAACGAGCACGGGATCTCCAAGTCGTTGGCCACTGAAACGCTGGTGCCGCGAACATGTTGGGACATCGTGCTGTTTGCGGTCAGACATATCACATTGTTTCCCCCAAGTGAGGCGACGCCTGAGGCAGTTCTGTCTCATCTCGAACGATATCTCAATGTGATCGTCGAGCGATGTTGTCTGCTCTGGTCGGAGTGGGCTTGGACCCTGGAGAACTCGTGGCCTGTGCTGATCGATCTCGCTCAGATCTTCTCGACTCGCAAATGGTGCAACTTACGACACGAGGCTTCGGAGTATCCTAGTTTTCTGCGGATGGATCAATGGGAAGTGCTGAACCGACCACTCCATGACGAGACGACGTTTGTGTTATATGCCAAGCTCGTCTATCAGGCTGTGTCGGCCTTCCCTGAAGAAATGAGGAAGGTCATCTCGGCGGTTACGCCAACGTCGAGCTTGTCGTGGTCCCGGACCGACCCTCCCGAGATACAGGACCTATCGATGTTATACAACCGGATCAGCTTCGTGGCGATCGCCATCTATCTGAACCACCAGCAGTACAAGAAATGGGTGGGGATCGCCCGGCAGTTTGTCCAGTTCGATGTGAATGACTCAACAGTCCGCATCGCCTGCATCCGTGGTTTCATGTACTTGACAAGTGTCCTTGTGCGTCTCAAGCAGCCGCTCGACGTTTGCGTCGACTGGCTCAAGGCAATGGTCCGGACCGTCATGAGGGAATACACAGCGACCGGAGGCAACTCCCGTCCGACTCATGTCCTAATGCTGTGTCTCGCAAACACTGTCTACTTCATCTATTGTGCTTACCAGTATCTCCCCAAGCATGAATCGATCGAGATCCGCTACCCAAATCCACATCTGTTGCGTGCGTCATTGTCTGGCGCACTGTGCTCTCCTTGACCTTTGGCAGTGGCGATCGAACCTATCCTCAACACCCCAATCTTGAGGGACAGTAACAATGCCTCGAACCACTTGTTGCCCCGGCTCGTGTTTAGCTTCCTCACCGCTCGAAAACTGTGCGCACCCGTCCCAGAGCGGCCACCACTGCCTGCGCAGCCGCAGTCGGCCGAGAGCCAGGATGAATACGGGGAGACCTGGATTTGGGTTTTCTGGACACAGCCATGGCCTCATCCGAAATACTGGGCAAGAAGATATTCCAGGACTACGACAGATCGTTGCACAAGGTAAGCATGCTGGATCCACACCTTTTTCCCGTCATAATCGATCCACCGCTAGCTTGTGAGAGAGCGCCTGCAATGGCCCATCTTCCGTCGACTCCAGCAATACGTCAATCATCCTGAGACAAAAGACAGGCTTCTCACGGACGATGACATGCCTAGCAATATATCGACGCTAACCACTTGCTATCTTGGATGTGCAGATATTGTTGCCCAGTTTGAGAGTCCTGACAAGGCATGCCAAGACTTTGACCTGCTCCAGTCGACTGACAGCCAGCAGCCATCATGGATGCAGCACCTGCCGATTCTCAAAGACTGGGAATGCTTGAAGTCCTTCGTCAGACGTCGGATGAACTTTTTGTTCTACAGCACCATCCTCGATATGCACCCGATGTCCTATCTGGACCTCAAGGACGCGATGATTGTCGTCCTCTTCGAGTCCCTTGCTTCTTGGCACACTACGAGCGAGGACAACTTCATTTCTCTTTTGCTTTCGATCGACGGTCGCTGTCATCCTCTGTTTATGAACGCATATTGCGGGGTAGCCGAGGACGGCTCCCGGATGGCAGTCCTCACGGCGAGAATGCCATTCATCGTCACAATGCTCCAGAACCTGGAGAGTGTCGTGGACGATGGCATGCATCATCAATTTGTTGGGTTCTTGATCAGACTGTTCGCTGCGATAGAAAACACATTTGAAGTACGCATGCCCCTTTAGTCGCGGCTTTCTGGCTGATGAAATTAGGAACTGGACTACTCGCCGCCAGAGAAGGAGCAGTATCGGACATGGGCAAAGGAGGTGTTCGCTCGAGCCAAGGAGCATCCTCGCATTGTGTCAGACGAGCGACTAGGTGTTCGTTGGTTCGGCTGGGCCGCACAAGAATTGTAGATGTGATTACATCCACGTATATCCGACCAAATCTATTCACATCTTGTACAAATGGGCTACAGAGTACGACTCGCGCAAGTGTCCACATCAACAATTATACAGGATTATGGTATCTAGTTGTCACTGCATGGAATGAATGCCGAGACATAGAACATAGTCGGTGGCGACGTACCTGCAGGTCCATGAAATGACACTACGGTCTCAGCATCAGAACGCCAGTTGTTCGTGCGATTTTTCCGGGTGGAAGTTGAGCACAAACTCGAACTGCGGCCCAGTCTCTGGGCTATGGGGGTAAATCACGCACTTGGCAACACCACGCCATTCGCGGGCAATGATCTGCAAGGCTTCCTCCCCATCTTTCGCCCGGCCGCTTTCCACCAGCCAGCATCCGATGACCATCCCCGTCCGTCCGATCCCCCCTCGACAATGCACTGCACTGATGCGTCCTCTGGCCTCGCTGTCTCTCAAAACGGCCATAATATTGTACATATAGTCGACGCTTTCAGGAAGCGACCGGTCGCGGATGGGAAAACGATGGTATTCTATCTCCTGCAGATAGAAGAATGGAATATTCAGTTGTCAAGAAGCACCCTGATGATAAATTTCGACTATACCTGCACATCAATGCCAAGCGCAGCGGCACGCGACAACACATGCTCCACATATGGTGACAACTCTCCACACTCTGTGAGGTCAATAAAGGTCCTCGTACCAGCCTTCAGAAGAGCATCGAGCTTGGGGCAACCAAACTCATTAGGAGACCATGGGTACTCGCATGCCACCAGAAGCTTGGTCGCCCAGTAAGAGTTGGGTATTGGTCGCGGTTGGGGGCAGATCAGATTTCCGATGCTGGCTAAAAGACGACGTGCGTCTTCGCCACCGGTCAGCAATGACAGGTTGGCCTTGGATGTGGATGCAGAAGGAGATGTGGACGGAGAGGGAGACATGCTAAGCTTCGCTTTAGGGGCCTTGCGTATTGCAGAAACGGAGATGGAAACGCGGAAACGAGTGCTGAAAGCAAAAGAATGGGGACGTTTGCAGATGAAGGAAACGTGCAGAAGAGCTGGTTTTATAAGCAGTGTTGGTGGCTTTGGACAAAGGACTGTGTACGTTTGTTATCAACCATGACTCTTTCGCATGGTGATCCCGAACTCCGTTCCGCCGAGAGGTTCCCAGCTTCTCTCCAAGATTACCATATGTCTTGTCTTGTTTCTATTCAGGCATCCTCAAGCTGATTTAGTCGGCTGAGCGGATATCACCTCATCAACGGTCAATTCAGTCAGTACGTACCCAAGTGTAGCCAAGTGTGGTTCCTCGGCTCAGAGGAAAGCCGGAGACACAGTTGAAGGCGCTCGTAGGGATTTAACTTTTAGAACCTTACAATGCATGATACATGAGGCAGACCGAGCACACGGATACAATGTGGGCAAATCTAGAGATGCATGAATCCAGACACCCGCATTATGGTCGAGTGGCCGATCTTTCGTCGTCCGCATCCTCGTTGTCAACGCCATCGTTGTTCTGTTGTGCCGCCACGGACATCAATCTGAAAGCGGTTTAGGACAGAGATTGGCATGAGGAGGGGACCGACTTTGAGGCATCTAATCCAGCGAATGTCCGCATGGCCTGTAAATCGACTTGCAGTTGCTCGCACAGGTCGGCAGTCGTACCGATGGCGCGTGACATCCGGGCCAACGAGCCTGCCAGTTGCGCATAAAGCCTTTCCTTGGCCAGTGTCGCGTTCGTAGGGTGAGAATACATGATAGCAGGGGGACGCAGACGGGAGACGTGATGTCACATTCAATAATCCATTTCCGTCGAGTAATAAACAGTCTAACGATACAGTGTACAGTTACAGTCCTCCGCATACGCATTTAGCCTTGGTATTGAGACATAAAATTCTGCCATGAATATGATAGATCGGACTGCATGAGGGCATCTTCTGAACCTGGAGAGTATGCCGTTTGAGAGTACGAGTAGTATTCGGTTCCACTTTGCATCGGAATAGATGACTCGTAGCCGCTGGATGACAGCATGTACTGTGGATGGCTATATTCTTGGGACACCGGAGGAAAGCCCTGGAAGCCCTGCCATGGACTTTCAAGAGTGGGCTGCGGAGATGGTGACGAAGCTGGATCGGACCGAGAAGGGGTTGATGGCGTCGAGTTTGTACGCCGCGTCACCAGTCGGGTCCCGCCGCCGAGGACGCTGAGTTCGGCAGCTTCTGTCTTGATCCTGGGTGATTCGGATGTGGGATTCGCCAAAGCTTCCCGGGCGCGAGCTTTGAGCTTGTGCAAGATGGGCTGCAAGATGCGATGAGAAGGGTTACCCGGGCAACAAAGATCCGTGTCTACCAGGATCTTGGTGGTGCGCGTCTGATCTGAAACATTTTCAAACAGCGAACACGCGGTTTCGAGATGGGAGAGAGCTGAAGGAGCCACAGCCATCCGTGGTTTTACGGCTATTGAGCCGAGAACAATCTGTCTGGATTAGTTCAATGTTGGAATCGACACCAAAAAACACGCACTGCACAAGAGAAGACGTGCATGAAGTAAAACCACATGCGCTCCGCCAGCTGCGTAGACCATGCATCAGTGCGGTCACCGGTCACAGTCACGCGAGACGAACAATGGGTTGCTGTTTGAACAAGCTCTCAATGAGACCCACAAAAGTGCAAGCACTGCTGTAGGCTGCCAGGACTGAGGGCGCGTATTTACTTCCCATGGGATCCGATGGATTGCCTTCGAACGCTTGAGCAAAGAACCCTCGATGCATGTAGAATGTGGCTGTAATCCGTCAGCGGTCGCTTCTAAGCGCTGCAAGGCTCGCACCAATCTCCTTGATAGCGAATGCACAGTATCGCTGCATCGTCAGCTGTACTGTGGGCTGTTCGAGCTGTGCAGTGCGCTTCGATCCGCCAAACCCAGGTACTTGGAGACTCGGTGGAATGTAATACGCCCGCAACTTCTTGTCCAACTCTTTGATTGTGCTGTATGCTGGAGGGCGCGCGCCAAAGACTTGATCATGTAGAACAGACAGGCACTCGGTTGACCATCGATGTTTCCACGCCTCAACTGAACTGCGAGTCAGGCGGGCATCACGCGGGACTTCACGCAACGCACAGGACATCTCTGTTTCTCCGGAAGGATCGGTAGTCGTTCCATGCGGCAGTTTCGCGTCAATGTGAGCTAGCGAAAACGAGGGCGGTCTTCCGAATGTAAGGCTCTGCTGAATTTCAAGACATCGCAGAATCAGCACTGGGAGGAAAACCTGCCTGCCAAGAGTCGTAGGTGTAGATCTCGTAGAGCAGACACCGTCTTCTGTGCGTTTCTTCCAGATCTAGATTCCATTTGCGGCTATCTCTGTCTAGAAAGCGATCTGTCAAGGTACGTTGCACAATGAGTCATTCCTTACGGAGTCCAATCTAGCGAGCTGGGTCAGTACATCGTAGCAATGGTCACAAGCCAGAACACGGACACTGTGTGCCAACTTGACCACCAGACCCATTATCACCCATCGTGGTTGTTCGATATCGGCCCAGAACATGAAGTGACACATGAGGAGCTGCTTGATGAGACTAATGCACTATCCCTCGACCGAAGATCACGCACCAGTGCCTGGATCGCAGCGAACGAAGGCTGATCCAACACAGAATCAAGCGCCAATGCTGCTCGAGCCAATTGATAGAATTCCGTCGCTTCATGTGAATGCGCAGGCATTTCCAAGTCCACCAATGTGCCTAGCGCAAGCACCATAAAGAGCACGCCCAACTTGTGCCAGTTGAACGTGTCGTAACTAAACCCATCCGATTCATATATCGGAGTGAAGACAGTCTGGTAGAAGTCGGTCTCTGTGATAGGACAGTATATCCAGGCCGCGTGTCGATAATAGGAGCTACAGAAACTACGCCAGTTCAAGCAAGCAAGCCGACAAATGGCCAGAATGGTGCTTACCGCTGCGCAACATCTGCTCGAGGTAAGAGATTCAAGAGATTCTCTCTCAATGCGTTGTCCATCTTCGGCCCCGAGACAGAGAAGGGAAAAGAGTGCGCCATCCAGGATAGATCGTGTGGGGAGATTGGACTTCCAGCCAGTGGCTCCTCTTCATCGACCGAAGACGTTTCATTCTGCCTAATGAATGAAGAAACAGATAGAAACAGCTCAAATCTTACTTTGAGCAGATACTGAGAAAGATATCAATGAGCAAACATTGACGGCCAACAATCAGTCTTACCCATGAATTAGCAGCTTGCCCAAAGAATGTTGCCCTTCCGCCGTCGGAAATGGAACTGCGATCGATGACATGAAGAGCGGAGAGCTTGTGACATCTCATCGCACATACAGAGAGCCCATAGCATCCACGCCATCATTTGTGGAATCGAGAATCTCTTCCTTGGACACAGTATCTGGGCGTTCCCGTTCTAAGGGCCGTTTGATGTTCAATAGATCCGGTAAAAGAAGAGGATGTGTGTCGGAAGTGTGCTGCAGATGAGACTGTTTGAGACCGTCCTCGAGTTGACGCACTCGGTAAGAAAGCTCGTTGATCTTCTCATGGAGCTCTTCTGTGTTTGCTAGAACGAATCTAGTTTGTGTGAATGGACCTCCTAAGCAAGGATAACTTGGCGCACCTGTTTCCTAAAATCGAAGTTTCCTTTGAGAGGTACCCGGTAGTTTCAAAGAAGATCGCACCTTTGCCGGTCGTCAATGATCCTACACAGTGTCGCGTCAAGTTGATGGATATGATCCCAAAGAAACGGACGCGCCTTCGGGACATATGGCCGTGCATCCCTTCTTTATACAGTTGCTGTCCGAGATAAGTCAGTGGGTAGAGTCTTGAGTGTTTCAGGAATAACACACCTGCAAGGGAAGACGCGGCTACACCTGGGATAGTCGAGATTAGACTTCACTGTTTGGCAGCAATGGGACAAATTACTTGAGCTTGAGCCTGGCAGTATGGATAAATAAGTCAAGATCCGTTGTGAACGGTGTGAAGATTATCGCGCCTCCTGCATTCTGCACATGACAGGGCGGTCGGCCGACGCTTGTTACTCCTGTTAATGAGCGAGGACGAAGCATTATGGGGCAAAGATGCCATAGCTGAAGGTAGAAGAAGACCCAGAGGTAGAGCTTAGTTGACTACTGCCCGCATCCGGAGCTGAAACTGGGCCGCGGCAGGCTCCTACCCAACATCAACATCATCGCAGTTAGCGGATGGCTGGTCAGCGGATCAGATCCGATTTCAAGACTGGAGGGCACCGAAGACAAGGAGTATGAGTCGTATAACTGATGAGCGTCCGGTTTTAACGTGTGCCAATAGTCCCCCTTCCGAAAAACCTCAATCGGGTGATACTTGCGCTTCGTGCTCGCAGTCGTCATAAGAAAGTAGATTAGCCACGTTTCGGCTAATCACGTGATCGCGACCCTTTATTTGTGCGCGCGTCCGGCGTATGAAATTTGCATCTCTTCTCCTACAGCTTTCTGCAACCGTTTCGACTGCAGAGGGTAAGTCGATGAGCTTATTCATCTTATGATGAGCATTGTTTAGATGACGAGTCTGAACGTTCATCTGGGCCAGTTCCTGGCTCTTTTGGCATCCTTGACGATACCGAAACAAAATTCCATTCATGCTTTCCTGATCTTTTCTTCTCATCTATCTTTTGATCTTTTGCTCATCAATTTTCCTCCAGACGATGGCCCCCATCGACGAAGACGAGTACTCATCGGAAGGAGAAGGGGAGGACGTTGAGACGACAGTGCTGCTGGGAGTGCCCGATGTGCCCATCACCAACGAGAAGGATTTGGTTGATGCCGCTGTCTCCCGTATCGGTGGTCATCCTGTACGGTCACACCCGCTTATGTATCGTTCCGTAGCACTCAACGAATACCGATTTATGCCTCAAGGCCTTCGTTTCCACCGACCCTCCATTTTCCTCGTCGCAGTGCAAGATATGCTCACGACCAATGGAACTGCTTGTCCAAATGTGGTGTCCTTTCGAGGACAGTCCAATGGATCGAGCGCTCTATGTTTGGGGTTGTGCTATTCCTGAATGTCAATCCAAAAGCGGCAGGTAAGCCCGGAAGCGTGCGCTCTCTAAGATCCTCATCTATGACATGAAGCGTTCGGGCATGGCGAGGTCTGCGCCGTAATGACGAGTACGCTGCAAAGCTAGAGAAGAAAGCTGCTAAGCTCAAGCCGAAAGCAGCCTCCAGCATTCCCAGTCTCAATCCTTTTTCCGCTGTACGTTATACAAATGCGCCTTCATCCGCTCGTCTGACCAGGATCAACACATAGACGAGTGGTGGATCTTTCAGTCCTAATGCGTTCGGTCTGGGAACTCAGATCTTCGGTGATTCGACTCCGGCTGCTTCAGAAAAAGCGGAGGAAGGATCAGACAGCGACGAAGAAGCCTCGGATGAGGAAATGATTACGGCTCTCGCTGCCACAACGCTCGAGGATTCTCCGTGGAAGGCTGCCCCATCTTATCCGCCATTATATCTGAACACAGAGTCAGAGTACATCCCTGCGACCCAGAAGCTCAAGCTCCCACCCGGTGTCCAGGTTGTAGACAATCTGGATGACGATCCGAAAGGCAACAAGGACGTCTCCTGGATTGCAGAAGCGTACGAGAACTCGTTGGATGTTGATGTCGTCTTTGAACGCTTCAGCAAACGAGTGGGCTACGATGGTGATCAATGTGTTCGGTCTGTCCTCCCATCTGAGTCTTAATCGACGGCATTGATCTCCGACCAATAGATATGAACTGGATGGGCAACCTTTGCCGTATGCTTCAGACGACGTCTTCGAACATCTGTTCCCCAAGCCGCCGTCTGCACCGCTCCCGGTCATGAAAGCTGCTTTCACGGTCGTCCCACCTCTCAAACGGGTCTACAATCCTTCCTGTATTCCCCTGTGTCCGTTCTGCAAGGCGAAACGTGTATTCGAATGTCAACTTATGCCCAATCTGATCAATGTCGTGCGAGAGGCCAAGGTTGAAAATCAAAGGCTAACAGACGAGGAGAGGCGCAAAGTGGTTGAGCAAGAACTCAGGAAGGGCGGATCTGGACGAGGGATGGAGTGGGGCACCTGCTTGGTTTTCTCTTGCTCCAGAGATTGTTCTCTTGACGATCATGGCCAGGACACTAGAGAAGTTTGGAGGGAAGAAGTCGTGATGATTCAATGGGAGGCGTGAATCGTATACACAATTCTTATCTTATCTACAGGCATTGATCACACGATGAACAAGAAAACTCGATGACGAATCCGCGTTTCCTATTTTTGACAGCCTGCTCATTGACAATGGGGGCGAACACCTGAAGAGCTTTCCCAAGAGCTTTTTCGTATAATAGCGACATACTGTATAATACCAGGTCTTCTCTCTGTATTTACCAAGTGTTCCTTGGCGTAAATAAGACATTCGGGTGGCTGTGTGAGAATATCCCTGGTCACGCGTCATGATCAAACTTGCCAGTCCCATTGATTGCTAACGTACGCAAACAGCCTCAATATTCCCAATCCTCCCTCAAGAAAAGACCACCCGCAAGACGACACGATGGTCAAAGGTACGGATTGCTTATCGTGCCGTTGCTTCCAATTCAATGCTAATGACTCCCAGTCTACAAGCCTGGCAAGGTTCGTTGCTCGATCTCGAGCCGGGGCAAGACAAGTCGATTGATGTCTCTTTCGTGTCTGTGCAGGTCGCGCTTCTGCTTTCTGGACGGCAGGCAGGGAAGAAGGTCGTTGTGATCAAGCAGCTGGATGATGGAACAAAAGAGCGCCCCTACCCGCACGCTATTGTTGCCGGTATCGAGCGTTACCCCCGCAAGGTGACTCGGCGTATGGGCCAGAAGAAGGTATCCCGCAGGAGTAAGGTGAAGCCTTTCATCAAGGTATTTGATTTAGATTGGGTCTACGGGTTCGGATTCAAGAACAGGACGCTTGCTATTAGGTGGTCAACTATTCGCACCTTTTCCCCACACGTTACGCATTGGAGTTGGAAGGGCTCAAGGGCACTGTATCGAACGACACCTTCAAGGAGCCCACGCAGCGTGAGGACGCCAAGAAGACGATCAAAAAGTTGCTCGAGGACCGGTACACTGCTGGAAAGAATCGGTGGTTCTTCACTCCTCTGCGGGTTCGTTCAAATATTCTCATTTCGATCGGGTGGTGGACTTATTATGACATCTCTAGTTCTAAGTGCTGCTGGACGTCTTGTTACTATGCTGTCCTCGTAAAACACTACTGTATGGCTCATGATGACTTATGCACACGTCCGATTTTCCATGTGTACGCGAATGTCAGAACACCGTCTGAAATAGTTTGCACGTCTGGCAAGATGTCTCGTCTTCTTGGCTTGTTAGTGAAAGGAGAGGTCGGGGACCAATTCGAGGGCCTTTTGATTCCGACCGATGATGTGCCTATTGACAACATGGCGTCTATTTCGCTTACTTGATCGCATCTTGGTTGCTCACTTTCCCCCACCCACTCCAAGCCCATGGCTTCAAGCCGTCCTTTCCCACATACTCGGGCTCAGCTTGTATCCATCGCGCGCCAGTATAAGCCTATACCCTCCGACGCCTTCGATGAGGCCCTTGATGATGATGTGACGCGTGTTCCCACAGAGCTCGTTGACCAGGTCATAACCTGCCTTCGTGATGAGCAAGAAGATAGTCTGAAGTCTTTGTTGAAGACGGCATACGGTATGGACGACGAAATGGTGAGTACGAACTCCATGGGTGATAAAACGACATTGACCGGGCTCAGGTGGAACAAGCCGTGCTGGATCTCATGCACAAGCACCGCGACGATGAGGCCGGTGTCCCTTTTCTGTTTCTGACTCCGACCAGACGTCCCATTTCACGCCCCTCGTCGCGCGCATCTGCTCGGCTTCGCCCTGACACACCTACCAACTCGGCCCCGTCATCTCCACTCGGGTTAGTATTTCGGCGTCCCCACACCCCAGTCACGTCACCGCTGGTGTCTGGGGCCGCCTCATCGTACATCGCTGCAAAGGGCTTGGAATACTCCTACGCCAAATCTGATTATTCTCCCCAGTCCTCTCCGGTCTTACCCAGTCACATCCCGCAGTGGACCGCGAGTCTACCGGCGTCACCTTTGTCCTCCCCGAGATTGTTGAATGCCAAGGCAAATGAATTCAAGCCAATTCCTCGTCCCTTGTCGGCGGCATCGTCCAATCCGGGCACATTGCTGCGGGCGGAGACGCCTTCGCCGGATATGTGGTCTCACAGCCCTCTTCGCTCCAACTTGGCCATTGCAGCACCGCTCATTCATGAGCGGTCACTGACCCCGAGTTCTTCTTTACGCTCGTCGATGCTTCTTGGCGACGACATTGATAATGGGATCGACGACCAGGAGGACGAAGATAATGATCCATTCAATCCGTTCAACAACAAGGGGCTCCCTCACACTTTCCATTCGATGAACATGTCAGACCTAGACGCGCAATGGTCCAACTCTTCCACTTCAAATTCCTCCCGCTCGCCCGAGTCTCTGGACAATCTCCCGGCGCACTTCTATCCTCCGTTCTTGGACGATGACAACACATACCTCCCTCCGCCAGATCAGCCTGTAGGAGTTGAAGTTGATGCCCAGGTGGCATTGACCGAGGGAATGACTCCTTTCGACGTGCTCAGCTCCGTATTTGGGTCGTCTTTGGCGCCTTCCGAACTCGAAGAGGCACTTACAACGAACGGTTATGACTTTGAGCGGGCGATGGCGTGGTTAGTCGACCGGGCCATGCCTCCTGCTCAGTCTGGCTCCCAAATCCGTGGACAGATCCAGCAAATGGGGGGCAGAGTAACGGTCGTTCCTCGGGACGCTGGTCGTGGCCGAGGTGACCTGCGCTCTCCCCCTAGGTATGTCAACGGCAGACCGGTCCCAAACGGAAACCGCGTTTGCCGGTATTTCGTTGCTGGGGAGTGCCTCCGCGCCGATTGTCGATTCAGGTAAGAAGCGTGGCTTTCGTGGATGGATTATTTCTGATTTTCGGATAGTCACGATCTGGAACGTGCGTTGTGTCGTTTCTGGCTTCGCGGCACCTGTGCCAAACAAGAGAACTGCGAATTCCTCCATCATCTACCCAAGGATGTGGACTTGACCAGTCTAAACGTGGCAATGCAGCGAGCGAACGTTGCCCCGGGAACCGGGCCACTTGCCGGACACCCTGCAGTGATGGCTGCTGCGGCTCAGGAAGATTTTCCCGCCTTGGACGGCAGCACAGCGCGTCGAGGCAATTTCGGAGGGTATCTGAACGATCCCGCCAGAACCCGCTTTGCCGCGGCTGTCAAGAAATCGGCGCCTGCACCGGATCTGCATCTTCGTCGGGAAGCCATGGGGAATTCTGCAGATAACCTCTACCATCGCAGTGCCATTGTTGCGCCGCGTCCTTCGCCCCGTCTCAAGCTACACGCCCCGACGTTGCTTCCGACGTTGCCCACTGGCGATGCAGTCAACAACATGTACATGACGTACAGATCGCGCGCTCTCCAGCTCGGTGCTGCGCGCAACGCCTGTTTATCACGTGCTGCCGATGCCTGGCGCCGAGGGGATGGTGCCGCAGCAAAGAGATTCAGTCGCGAAGGCCACGAGCTTAACGACAAGATGGCGAAAGAAATGCGTTCGGCCGCGGAGCGGCTAGTGCGCGAGAGGGCATCTATTGTCGAAGAGGCTGTGCGATCTCGCGATGCTTCGTGGTCCGACGATCCTGGCGATCGCGCTGCCCGTGGAAGAAGCTGTGGAGCCCGTTTTGGTGTCGTTCTAGGTATTTCGTCGAAGGAAATCGGCGACAACAAACTCAGTGCCGAGGAGCGCACTGAAGCCATAGTCGACCTCCACGGTTTGCACGCCAATGAGGCTACCGATGTTTTGGAAGAATTCCTGCTGGCAGTGAGTCTGCTTTCTTTCCTAGCCGTTGATTTCCTCTCGCTGACGCCTGCACTAGTTGGAACAGAAAGAACGGTTCTTGGGACTCGCCTACATCATCGTCGGAGAGGAGAAGCACACGGGAACCCAGGACATGGCTAGAGGAACTTCACGGGCTCGGCTTGCCACCGGAGTCCGAGAATGGGTGCATCGTTGGGGCTATCCGTGGAGCGAAAGAGATGGAATCATCTGCGTCGACCCGCTCACTCATGCTTCCGAGTAGAATGGAATCAGTTAAAGAAGACGATTAAACAAGCCATGTATTTGTAGCCGATGGAAGGGAATCTAACAATGCAATAATTAACACGCATGAGCCAACAGATAAAATTCATAATGGTAGGTAATCTCGTGGTTGTAATCATTACTGGCTGAGGACACTGGCTGCATCAGAGGAAATGGCCGCTTTTATGTCTTCTGGACTGCTGGGATCCGGCAAACCGGCATCTCCGTCCCGGACCTGAACAGGCAGTCCAAACACCGGGTTCGTGGGGCTGATTGGCTCGGCAAGTGAAGACGCATCGGAGAAACTGTACACCGAAGTTCGTTGTCCAGGTGGCGGTCCATTGCCTGGCGGTCCCGATGAAACGCTGGACCGCGAACTAAAGAACCCTGTCAACTTCCGTGACAGCGGTGCTGGGCCGGGTGCTGCTCCTGTGCTCGGCAACGCTGCACTCGAAACGATGGGAGAACCAGTTACATCGGGACGAGGCGCCGCGGTCCCATCACCCTTCCACAACTTGAACCCCCATCCCTTGTCTTTCCGCGGCTGGTCTAGCCCCGACTCGTCACCCGTCGTCGCAGCCGGCAGTGGAGGCAATTTCACTTCGGCATCCAAGTTGGCGCCGACCCCATTCGCAGCAATGAAATCGCGAAGGGCTGCAGCACAATTCTCGGAAGCTTCTCTCGCCTCGATCGCTTCGCCTAGCTCGTGTCGAGTCTCCTGCAGTGCACTTTGCGCCGTCTTCAGCTCGTTCCGAAGCTTTTCCAGCTCTTCATGATCATGCGAAGACGATGACGATGTCCGTGAGATGTGTGGCCCGACGTCTCGCGGAGGAGACGCTCGTCCAAAGAACCCAGACGATCGACGATTCGCCGAGGGAGAAGCAAAAGTAAGCGACTGGTTCGGAGACGGTGCAGTGATTTCTAAGCTGACATTCGAGTCTGAGACAGAAGATATGCGTCGATGTGCGTTGGGACGGAATGAGTTTCCCGCAAAGGTGCCAGTGAGCGGTGTGAACGACGCCCGTTTAGATGATGGGGGACTCATGGTGAACGCTGTGGTATTAGCGCGAGACGTGTCAAGCGCCATGGAGGGCTGGCGTCGTTCCGCTTGTAATCGCATCAAGCCGCGTCTGTTGGTGCGAGATTTAGGGTCCCTCCGCAGCTACATGGTCAATGCACGCGTACCTGCTTTCCTCTACCTTTGTCCGCAGGAGAGATATTGCTTCTTCGTCATCCTTATTCTTTCTCTTAGTTTCAGAAAGTGCCTCATCCAGTGCCATCGCCTTGTCGGTGATGTGCTGCAGAGCGTCTTGAAGCTCGGCCTCACGGGTAGCTGAGGTGGCAATCAAAGCAAGCAAGTCATCCCGCTCTCTGGTCATTCCTGTGAGCTGTTGACGGAGCTCGCTGATGATATGCGCGAGGACATGCGGGTCAATGTCGGGCATTTGGAACCCGGAGGAGCCACCGGGTCTGTGCCGAGGTGGCTCGGGCTGTGGCGGAGGGTGTGATGGAGTGGAAGGCTGTGAGTCCATATTGAGCTGATGCTCGAGCTCAAGGCTCAAATCGATAGAATACCGGGACCTTTCGGCGGGGACGGCAGCAGAAGGAGGAGAGTCGAATTCGGGGGTCGTGGCCATGTCAGGGCATATACAGGTTGTCGTGAAGGTCAAAGAAAGGTCGTCCTAAGACGCACCACAGCTTAGAGAACGTCAAAGACGTGGGACGAAAAAGTCAAGGGCGAGTATGCAGTCGTGTCGTGAAGGGTCGTTTCGAGTCGGATAGAAATCACGTGTTTGTCATCACAATAGCCCGTTGTTAGGGGCTTGAACATGACACTGACAGGTACATTGCAATCTGAATCGCTGCCTGCTACATATGTACAATTACACTCTAACTACGCTCATCGCAAATCCTGCCGCAAGTCCCATCGGTCTACAGTAGAGCGCGTGTGCAGCTTACTCTCGAAATCTGCTCCTCATGGAAAGCCCGGCATCTTTTGGCTCACCTCTCGGCAACATCTCCATGGCCACCACCACCACCACATTACTTATTTCCCGGAACTGCGGACGAAGCAGCTGTCGTTGGTGCTTTCATTCGACCGCTTCAGGACATCTGCTCGTCCCAACGGCCGTCATCTCCATCCCCCACTCAATGATCCCGTTTGGGGTGTAGTTGCTCTTTGGCGCTTCGGTTTCTTTAAGCGGCAAGGTCAAGCTTGCACTGCGACCGCTATGCTGCAACCACAACAGATTCGAAATATCAAAGGGACGTTGGGATCCAATGACCGCCGGTCCTATTTCAAATATCCCAGAATGGAAAGTGTATTACCAAAACGGGTGCGGGGAAAGCTGGCGCTGTCCTCGTCGATTCGAAGATCGCAGTTGCAGCAACGCCGTGCTTTGCAAGTGTCTGATTGCCTCGTTCCATGTCCAAAGGCTAGTGCGAGGTATTAAATCTCGTAGTCTCATTTGGATCCCGCAGAGCTGATTGGTAGAAATTGGCTTTCGCTTTCCGAGTCTCTTCTCTGGATGTACTTTATGTTCGAGCGAAGTGAGTGCATACGGAATTCGATTTGCTCGATCACGATGGGATTCTGCGTCTCCTTCAGTCCATCTCCTTTTTCAAACAATCGCTCTCACTGGCAATTTCTGAGCTTGGCACTGATGACACGTGACGTGATGACCTAAGCTGATACGCCAGGTCGCAGTCTAGTTCATCTTCGTCCATCGACTGGGAATGGAATCACTGAGGTTAGAACCATCGACTTGGCTGCGTCTGGAATAGTTTTCATGTTCGGTCGAAGAACATCCACCATCTCTGCGTCAGCAGACGTCCAGTTGGTTCCGAGATGTTCGGAGCAGTTCCGATATTCAAGGAGCTGACACAAGAGCTGACACAGAATATACCCAGAGCCAAGGCAGAGAGAGCGCCGGACTGCGGGAATATTGCACAGCTGCTAAAGATCTGGACCCGCGAGAGTCTGCGGATGATGGTGTTGCTGCCAGACGGTGAGCAGGCTTTCCAGATTGTGTCGTTCCAAGAAAGTAGGCTTGGGTTTCGAGTTTGCCTGACAAATGTTGGAAGAATATCATATCACGAAGGTTCAGTCACAGCAGTTGACATAAACGTGTTCCGCCCCGGGAGATGCGTCTCTCTTGCCGAGAAAGGGTCGAAGAGATGAGATGAGCAGGAGGAGGCAATGTGTCGAGTATGCAGGCAACGGGTTGTTTTAGGCAACGAAAGCCCCATATACAGCGAAAAATAGACGCATGCTCATCCAAAAAGGGTCCATGCGAGCCAAGCGGGTAGGAATTTTGCGGCTGCAGAGTCTGAAATGAACGATATCGAGCTGCCAATGAGTGGTACAGACGAGATCTAAAGGGGGAGATGGATGAAATCGGGAATCAAAGTCCGTAGGACCTTCTGTACGTACAAATGCAAACGCCTTCAGGATAACTATGTAGCTACTTGCAACTTCTTCTTCCCTACCGTCATGTCCGCTCCCTCTCCTCCCCCCAAGCGCGACTCTGCGCCTGACGGCCCCTCCAAGAAGCGTCGCAAAGGCGCAACACGATTGTGCGTTTCCCCTCGTGCCTGACAGTGGGATGTAGACACTGATTCCCACTCCGCCTTCCTCACCAATTCACCATTCCCAATCCTCCACGCATTCGAACGTTGCTCTCTCGAAAGGTCTTGCGCTGAGTGTCGAAGGTGATCGCTCTCGCCAATCAAAAATCTGCTTCCGCTGAGCACGATGACATCAGACTGAAATTGCGCTGCGATCGTTCCATCCCCTGCGGTTCTTGTGTAAAGGTACCTGCAGACGACTTCTTCAATCGAGCCATTATCAACATCTGTGTCTTCAGCGCGGATGTGGTGCCATCTGTCCGGATGTAAGTTCTGTGACTCGTCCCTCCGATCCTTGCCCTAACCAATCTCCAGGGCTCTTTAACAACTGGCCAGGGCAATCGGTGCGGTATTTCAATCTTCAACCAGACGATCTCTCACACGAAACAGTTTTGTCCTCGCATCAACTCAAGAACTACACGAAAAGATATCTGAATTGGCCAATCGGGTCCGGGAGCTTGAAGATGCACTACGCGCATCGCACGGCCGCGTCTCAAACGAGCAGCACCATTTACTTTCCGAGGATCTACTCCGTATCAAGGCCCCTTTGCAGCGGGAAGCCCATGGACTACGAAACCAGTCTCACACCGGGATAATAGTGAAGGAGGAAGAGCACAATCCTGATGTTGTCGACGCATTCGGCTCCCTTTCAATTAGTCTATCTGGTGGGGCGAAGTACTTTGGGACAACAGCCAATTCTTGGGTATGTGCCATTGCGCTTAGGCTTTTGTGTTCTGTCCTCATGCATTTTTGGCTATCAGTACTTCCTGCAGGCGAGCGCCACTAAAGTCTACGCTTCGAACTGCACCTGACATCTTTCTTCTCCTCAGAATGAGACGGCAGAAGAGCAACCGGAGGACAGTCATCTTGCCAGCCTACAGGGTATGCTTCCGGAGCACATCCTCACTCGCGCGGCCGCATTCCCCATCTCTCCTGTGGCACCACCAGCGAACCAGGGGGAATCCATCCGCGGACTATTCTGGTTCCTACCATCTGGAGCAAAAGCAGCAGCCCTACGTGACATTTACTTTACTCACGCCGCATGGATGTAAGCTGGTTTGCTTACTCCCTCGGTTGACCTTCTAATTCTTGAGTCCAGGTACGCTCCTATTTCTCCGGAGTCGTTCGAGGCCGAGGTTTTTGCCCAGTTCTACGACCCGAGTGCAGCACCGCCAAGCGACCAACCCATTTCCGCTCATCGCCTTTCGCTCTTATTCATTGTGCTTGCCATCGGCTCGCTCGTCGATACCTCTCAGCCTGCATATAACCTCGAGGCGGAGAAGTATCACCAACTGGCCCGTGCCTCGTGAGTTCTTTCTTGTATTGTGATCTTCTCCAATCCTTTGACTTGCCAGGTTGTTCCTGCATTCGTTTTTCGATCAGCCAACCATCAATGCTGTGCAATCTCTGGTCCGTCTCCGAGCTTACCCTTGAAACTTGACTTACGGGGAACTCAGTTCCTGATGGCATATTACCTTTTCTTAGCTGACCGTCACGGCACCGGCTCGGGTGCTCGATGGGCTATTATGGGCATCGCTGTCAAGGTTGCTCAAAGCGTACGTCTCTCTTTCGTTTCTTTTCGTTTCCGCTCATGCGACCAAAGATCGGGTTACGTAAGACGATAATGCATCAAGCACGGGTCTATTTCGCTCACAGCAGCATCTGTAGATCGGGATAGTGGGCGGTGGAAGGTCGATCCGATCGAGACTCAACGGCGGCGTGAACTTTTCTGGGAGGCACGTTGAAAATGACCCGCAGATCCTCGGCAGATGCTGACCGCTTCCCAGCTTTTCACCTATGATTCCTGGCAATGCCTCACTTTCGGGCGGCCGACCTCATTCGCGATGGCTCATGTTGACTGTAAACTGCCCAGCCTTGGCGAGCCTGCTGATGACCAAGCCTGTCAGTTGCTTGCAAACAAGATATTGTTATCTTCTCACAGTTTTTACATCCAGTCTACGCGTGGAAACATAGGTTCTGCTCAGAATGCATGATCTTGCTCCACGATCAGGCATTCGGTGCCAAAACTCCGACCTATGCTACTGTCCTCCAACTGGACCGGAAACTCCGCGCTTTCCCGGTGCCGAGTGTCCTGCAAGGTACGCACCCAGATCTGGTCTACGAGTCGACTCGGCGGGCCCCTGAATGCATGCGCAGTCGCGGGATTCGGCAGCTCCGAGCCACGTGCTGGGTATGTGGAGACAGTCATGCTTACATTGCAACGGCATATCGTGCTGGCGATCAGAGAAACCAGTGCGTGTTCCTTCATCGCGGAGCGGAATCGAAAAGAAGCTCAAAACGCGGCAGACCTATTATACCTTCACCGCAGTTTCTTCGCTCGTGCTATCAGCGACCACCCCAATGATCCACTTGGCAGTCCATACGGCAGCTCCGTCATTGCCGCGTACCGCAGCGCAGGATCTCTGCTAGCCCTCCTGCGAAACTTGCACAGCCAGCTCAAAGATCTGAGTGAACGGATATGGTATGTGCTGGGTTTCTACTGTGCTGCCACTCCTCCCCTCATTGGCCTGTCAGGTTCCTCTGGACGCATATGTTTTCGTGTGCAATTATCCTGGGAAGCATCGTCACCCGCTGCCCGTCCATGAGTCTCGCCCCATCGGCCTTGCTCCAATTGGATTCTGCATGCGAGCTCTTCTCGAAAGCTGCCCGAGGCTTCCGTGCTGTCAAAGTCCTCGTTAGTCCCGAGCGAACGTTTTTGCTCCTGATTTCTCATTCCCGAATGATTATAGAACATTATGCTTCGACTTCAAGAGAAAGCCCATCACAGTCTCGAAGACCACAGAAAGGGTAAAGTGTCCCCGATACTGCACCGGCACATGTCATCGGATGGCACGCCCACAGTAGAGGAAAACGACGAGCTGTCGACCCTGGGTGGCAGGACCCGGTTAGTCGCCAAGAAAGAGCCTCTTTCGCCATTGTTACTGGAACGCTCCCCGACATCCCACACTCCAATTGTACCGTTGCCGCTATCACCCTCAGTCAACGAGCAGATGCATCCCACCGTGCTGGAATATCTCAACACTTTCCAACAGCCCATGCATGGCTCGTATCCTGATGCAGATGTCGACATATCCCCTGTCTCCATGTACGGCATGTCCACAGTTCCTGGGCCATCTTCGTACCACTCCGAATCCAATGGTTCGTATCTGGCGCAACCGGCGAACCAAGCCATGGACACGTCTTCGTCTTCGTCGCCGCAGTCCTCTGTGTTCCACCAGAACATGGCTGTCCACACTAATGGTCACCAACGGTCCCACGGCATGAGCAACGGCAACACCTCATCCCAGGCCATGTCTTTCCCGTCTTACTTCCCCGTGTACGACTACCGGACAGCGAACATGGACGCGTATTCCTCCGTCCCGACTCTGGACGTCAACCCGATGCCCGGACAGCGCCGCTCTTCGACCGGTTCACCAGAGTCGGGTGGGAACATGCAGGCTGCGATTGGAACGACTTTGTGGGCGATCTCATGAATTGATATTTTGCGTGGACTTTGTTGTATGTCTTGCCCCCGAGCTTGTATGTACAGTACGCCTCAGCGCCTTGACTGACTTCTTGAAGTAATGTATCGGTGTAGAATAGCAAACGCGGAGGAATGTATATATGCTGACGATGACGACTGGATCTACCGCTTTTTGGCCTGTCTGCGACTGTCCGCTGCAGTAGCGTCAGAATCAATTCCGAGCAAAGAGACAACCGAGGTAACGCACCTTTC